AGGTGTCATGTGGGATGGGACGGGCACTTGTTGATGGGTGATAGAAGTGGTTATGATAAGTGGCTGTAGGGCGTTCGATTACGTGCACACTGTACTCAGGGTATGACAGCCTTACTTAATGGCTATTGCTGAATAATAAGTCATCAGAAAATGATAATTTGTTCCAAAGGGCCCAATCAGTAAACCGTAATCCTTTTTCGGCGGTTGAATAATGTGAGTGTAAATAAGATGATAGGCTTAGCTCCTCATTATGTAAACAGCTATTATTTTATTTTGAGGACTGCAGGCAATCTATTCACGTAATTATCTGAGTCAAGAAGAATTGCGATGTTTCAGTGCGTGAGGAATTATGCAGTTCAGTCCAGAGGTTATACGCGTATTTCGGATGGACTCAGCGAAACTGGGAAAATCTAACACATTCAATAGTGAGGTGGCTAATGAAGGGCCTCATGCTGACATTCCATGGGTCTTTCAGTTTCACTGAAGCCTGCCGTGTGATGCGCGCGATAGCGGGCGGAGCAAAACTGGTAGCCCTAAAAAGAGGAAGGTGAAAACTGTAGTGCAAATTCATTTCTCGCTAAATAACTTAATTATATCAGATTTTTTGAGAACAAATCCGCTCTACTCAAGAGGGATGACCGTCGGTGATCTAGAATATACCTCCGTCTTGCGAGGAACCTAAAATTTTCAAAGGAAAAGTTCCTATACTTCTCAATTTCCCATTTCGACATCTGTTTCCATTCAACAAACGCGCCCCATTGCAGCATCCAGCGCGCGATTCAATACATTCGAAACCTGTCAACACGCGTTTCCACTACCTTCTCGGCACAATCATTTCCCCCACTTCTCCATAATATGACGCCACAACCCTCCCGTTTTCTCCAGCGGAGAATGCTTAGTGACGTACTCTGAATCTCCTATGAAGACTCAACTCACCAGTAAGATTTTGGGCGCAATGTGGCTGGGGAGGGGGGGGGACACTCTGTAGAAACGTCTCTGGGACTGAGCCTGGGCATTTTGTTTAGTCCTGATCTCGTGAAGGATGTACTTCACTTTGATTAGTCCTGATCTCATGAAGTTGAAATGTTCTATTATTTTATACTTTTCCAGGGTGAAAAGAAACCACATTATAAAGATAAAAGGAATAAAAAATTGGTATGAATTGTGTCTTCATAAAAATTAGACACAGGGGGTCGTACCAAATCGCCCATGGAGGGGGGGTCGTAAAAAAATCCGGAATGTAGCAACGATAGGACCGACCCTGCTCCCAAGGGTGATGGCCACGCGCGTTTCGCAGCAAAGAGCATGATTTCAGCTGCCGAGCAGGGCTGACACGCGCCGCTTCCACCAATGGGCAGGCTCTCGTCGTCTGACTCTATCTGACTCCAGATGGTTAGCTCAGTAATCATTAGCCTTAGAGAGGTAGGACCAATGAAAATCGCATCCATGTGGAAATCTTGGAGAGGAAGGCATCTCGAGACCTGCTTCTGTTTTGGTTTTTTTCTTCATTCATGCATCACTGACCATCTCTACTTGATTTGTGAATGTGTTGACTCATCGTAAAAACTCGGCTTTAAGGAATACTGCCGCGGCTGCTTCTTCTACTACAGACTCATAACCCCAGAGAAGGTAACATTTCAAAGAGACGATGCAAAATTTTACATCCTGGACAGAGAAAAGCACAGCGAAGAATGTCCATGGGCGGCGAAGCTACTTCCAGTGACCTCATAAACAGCAGAATTTCCTTGATCTTTGTAATGAAGTGATGTTTCAAACAAGTGAAACTTATCGTCTCATTTGATCTATTATAAATTGAATATGAACAAATTTGAATGTGTTTCTTTGTGCTTTATTCTATAAAAATAAAAGTCGAAGGTGAAATTGTCACTTAAAGGCAGCGATTATGATAAGGAGGAGGTGTATCAGAGAATCATGTACACCACACGAAGCAGTTAATTGACTGCCAAGAAAGCGAGATGTGGTGCTTTCGCGACGAAAGGTGCGCTGGTTGCTTAGCAGGACTTCGAAACAGGGTCAACCCTATATTGCGAGAAATACCAGCGAGGGTCGTATTTGATTGAGCTTGTGTGTTTGGGGGGGGGGGGTTTGGTCGTACTCTCTCGGAGGCACACCATGGTAGGGGATGTCAGTGCAAGCGCATGCTCGGAGCTCTCCAACACAACCTATGTTCATCACGAAATTGCTTCCCTTGGAGGTTACGGCCAGTGAAACCTCAAAAAAAAACCCGCGTTTCAAGGGAAATGGGTTGAAGAATGGCCCTCCAAAAAAGTCGCAACAGGACCAGTTTTGGAACTACTGACTTTTCAGAAATGCTGGTGCACTTTTTAGAGAGCTTTAATCCTGAAGTTTGTCATACCGTGTTCAGCTTGCGAAATCAATGAGCTTGAAGGAAGTCATGATCGTTTAAAGGTTGAAAAGTCGCATTTGCACAGAAAAAAATCCAGTGTGCTAATTTTTAACTAGCTTTCTGAGACTGACTAGCCATTGTTGAAGAGAGGATAACTTGATCTTTTCAATTTATATAACTCTAGCTCAAAAGCTTGAATATGAAGGAAGTTATACCCCTGAAAAGAGGGAGGTAAAAATTGTAGTGCAGTTTTATTTCTTACTTAATAACTTTTTCATTTCTGATTGTTTGAGAACAAATGAGCTTCACATAGAAAGTCTGAGCCCTGGTGATCCAAGACCCATCTCCATATTTTGAAATACCGAAAATTATGCAAAGAAAAATTCGTCTAGAATTCAGTATCCCCATTCGTCGCCTGCTTGCGATCAGCGAACGCGACGTTGATGGTGCGAATCGGACGGTCAGTATCGCAATACATTTCACTCATCATTGCTTCAATACCCATACTACCCGCAATCATATCACTACCAACGTTTGTCCGACACCGGTCAAGACAATCATGAGATTCTAAACCACATCCGACGATTGTGCTTTTGATTGAGGTCTGATTTGACCTCTGATATTATCCTCTAGCGAGCTTTGTAGAGTAGGTTTTGGTTGGAGCCAAAGAAGTGCGGTGTTATATATAAGGTTGTCGGGGAAGTCTTTGCGCATTTGGCAACTTTTTTTTCGAAATAGTTTTTATTCTTAAGTGCAGCCAACAATTGCTGAATACATAAACCACAATAATCGTCGGAACGTTGCTCTCCAGCAGGAAAGTTCAGCTTGCCGGCCCTCCAGAAATCCGGAGCCTTTTGTGTGAAAAGCTCAAAGGGGTTGACTCCGAGTAGGTCATAGTCATCGAACTGCCCCTATTTCAGTACCTTCGACGGCAAAGCGTATGGTAGCCCGCCTCTACCAGGTTTGCTGTACCCATCAAGTGGGTCAGATCATTCCATAACGAGCCTGGAGACCTTTCCTGAATCTTCTTCGCAATTCGTGGGCGAGTGTTGCCGACATAAAGTGAAGTTTCTCCGATTTTCCGGACACCATGCCGAGAAAGCTTTGGCGTGCGAGTTATCTGCGGATCCCACTTCTTGACACCACCAACAAAGTAGGCGGATCAAGCGATAGACGGGCGGCAAAGTCAAAATGTTCCTGCAAAATTTAATGGTCTCAATAGCCTGTGGTCAGTCAGGTCTCAGAATACCCTTTCGCCATAATTTCACTTTATTTAAGAGGCGATAATGAGGAACAGCCATTGTGGTCTGGTAGCACCGAAAGAGCTCCGCTAATAACCGTGCATTGCACTAGCCACTCTCGCCAATAGAATTCAGAATACACTCTTCAATGAGGATGGCAGGCTGACCATATTTGTGGCTTTTTTTCCAAAGTATCTGGAACTCGGCAACCAAATAATTGGCATAATGTGAAAGATAGTTCGTAGTTCTGAGATTCATCGCAACACGTAGAACTCCCACTGCAATCAACGCATTTTGCGGGCTTATAAAGGCAGGAGCAGTCAAACATACCTCCAGTGACAGGCGATCTTTGAGCTTCAAACGCTGCGAAATGCTTTGGAAGAAATGCTGTGGAGAGAACATCAACCACCGCTTACATGCGTTTACCAGTGAATGTTTCAGAACGATCGCAAAAGGTTTCGCAATGTCAACAAGAAAATGCGCAAGAACTTTTCGGACAACCTAGTAGTTACTTGGATTCTTTTCTAAGAGGAAAAGGTGTGGTGTTTTATTTAGTTTCTTGAGTTATTTTTTCAAGACGAAAAGAATGCAGCGGTTTTTTCAAAGTGCATAGAAATCAATATCAAAGATTTCAGTATAAAAGGTGGCATACATTGTCTGTACACTAGTGTTACATACAGGGGGTCGTACAAAATCGCCCATGAAGGAGGGGGAGAGGAGTCGTGAAAAATTTCAAAAAGTATCAACGGTAGGGATGACTTTGTTGCGAGGAGAGGAAAAGCGCGAGAGAGTATGTGCACGAGAGCGCGCAAAACCCACGCATCGAGCGATTAATAAGTATGGCAGCACGGCAACACACATGGCAAGGCCTTAGCGCCTTGCTTCGCACTTTCAGCCGCTACAGAGTCGCGCATATTGTGCTTGAGGCCAGGGAGGCACCACTAGCTCACTCTTTTTTGGCACCTGATCCTGAAACGGCTTTGAGCGCTCGTTGCGATTTCTCAACCAAGTGAGTCCTATTATGAAACGCACATGATATTGATTTTTTTTGAGGCCAGGCCACTGCGGTTACTGCATAGTCGTCATGGGGAAGAAAGTATAGCTGCTCTTCTCTCTAGGAATTCTCTTGCATCGTTATACCTTGCAGATGTACAATCTCATTAAAACCCTTATATTTTCGATTGCCTCATAAATTATGATTCTCATTATAATTCTTGTTCTCTTGGTGAGTGCACCAGGAAATGCTTTTCCAAATTACTTTAATGCGTAGAGTTGTGCGCTTAGAAGAGTGAAGTTTCGATGGTGCCAAAAAACACAGCAACAACAAATAAATAAGCAATAAACAATTGGTGAAAGAGGTATGATCAATCAGCTGTCAGTTATCAGTCCTTCTAAAGGAATGCAAGAAATTTTCTCGTTTGGTCTTCTTCTTCTATCCGAAGTCCATGTATGAGGTTGAAATGGTCGCATTCCGGGAACTCCTAAATGAACTTGTAAATTAGCTGCTTTTGCATTTCATTCCAATATGGTTCCGAGTTTCAGAGGGAAATCTCGAATACGATGAGATTTACCACCTCCAACCATCCAATAGGACCCGTTATAAAAAGGACCGTAAGGGGGCTTCATAGAGACCTCCCTCAGGAAAGAAGGGGTCGTGCTGACTACAGTGCTTGGCCCCGGCTTCATTGGTAACATCTCTTCCAACGTAGCTCTTGGAAATCGCTCTTCATGTCCCAATTTACCAGTTGTCATATCAGTTATAGCCAGTGAGGGTTGTGAGACATACCATTCAAAGAAGGATACTGTAGAGCAGACTAATTCGAAAAATACTCAAAGGAGATTGTGTCAATGACTTGTAAATTAGGCTGCTTTTGCCTTCATTCCAATATGGTCGAGTTTCGAGGACATTCTCGAATACGATAGATGCACGAATGCATCATTAAGTCTTTAAAATTGATGTAGGAGTGAGGAGAGGATTCGCTTCTCACTCAGGACCTGCACATTCATAGCTATGAGCAACTCACCATGAGTTTTAATTGTCCCCGGCTTCATTGGTAACATCTCTTCCAACGTAGCTCTTGGAAATCGCTCTTCATGTCCCAATTTACCAGTTGTCATATCAGTTATAGCCAGTGAGGGTTGTGAGACATACCATTCAAAGAAGGATACTGTAGAGCAGACTAATTCGAAAAATACTCAAAGGAGATTGTGTCAAATTCACAGTAGCAGTCAAAAAGTCACCAAAACAATTTTTCGTACATTGTTTTGCCTCAACTAAATAGCTCCCTTCAAATATTGATATGTTGCGCCTCCTAGATCCTTGAGTTCTGAGAATCTGCGGCACAAAAGAATCTTCAGTTCACCTTAGGTCTTTTTATGAGAAAAAAAGTGTGAACAACGAAAAGGGTTCCGACGAATCTTCCCTACTGTTACTGTATATCTTAATGCATCGTCATGAACTTCACAGATACAACTAGCGCTGAACTTCTGACCCTATTCTCCAGCTATGAATGGGACCAATTAGCAAAAGACCGGCACAAGATCTTTGAATAAAGGATAAAGCATTTGCTGTTGATAAATCCCATTTGGCATTCTACTTCCAATTATACATTCGTGATGGTAATCTGAATGCTATTATATTTGGCCTATGCAGTGAGTTGCGTGGGTCAACCGGTGCACATGTCAGGGTTTTTTTCCCTTCCCATACAAGCCTGGTGCCAATTGACCCTTCCCTGGTGATGGCAGGCTCGGTTGGCTAAGGTCATGGACAACCCAGTATTTAATCCCCTGACCGCGCGCATGGTAAGCAGCGGCAATTGCCACTGCACCACTCCGTCCCCTGGGCCTATCGATGCGGTGACACAGTTAATTTCATGGTATTCTTTTCGAAGCCTGTTGGTATTGAAGGGTAGTGTTGCTTCTAAGTTTTCCTGGTATTGCACTCGACCAGAAAAGGACGAACCTGGTATTCAACGGCAACACCTTGTTCGTTCAAAGCTTCGCCCATCGCTCTATTCTGCTCGATGATTTTGGGCGAATCCTGTGTATCAACGATCATTGACTTAAAAGGAAACGAAGGAATGGAGAATGTCTTGGAGATATACCTTTAGGGCAACCAGCATCAGAATTCCAACTTTTGATCCGGGTAATTCTGACGCGTTACAGGAGTTCTTCTTAGCTTCTTCTGGAGTTAACCTTAAGAAAGTAATAATGGAAGAGCTAAGTAGCTGTCCTGGTGAGTTAGGACGAGGCCAACCCAATAAGGGTTCCAATCTCGCAGTTGGGGAGGTCACCCAGATCATAAACGCCGGCAAACAGTACTAGCTTTTGGATACGTGGAGAGCGTAATTGGCTGAACACTGGAAAACGTTCATAAATTAAAAGCAAGGTGAATCGTTGAGAAGTTTCAGTTGTAGCAAGCAAACCTTTGAATGCTAGATGTGCTCCTGCCGAGTGACCAGCCAAAGCCACTGACTTCACATGTGAATATTTGCTGAGTAAGAACTGAATAATAAGTTGGAGTGTGGGTTTTTACCCACTAATTCTCACTAAAATCAGGAAAAACATCTCATGGACTGGGCAGCTTCATTGCTTACCTTCACTGCCACTACAACTTGCTGGACCACTTCAGAGATCAGATGAGTACTGCTGGCGTAGTCATAACCCACCGACGCCACAGCCATATTCCGCTTTACCAGGTGTACTGCAGCTGGACTTATGAGTTTCCTAGTGCCTTCCTGAATGTATTATTAGAGGAAAAAGAAAGGCTAGTAGGAATTCTCCTTTCTCATTTCCATTCATGTGTTTGATCCATTCTTTATTATTTGAAATTTACTAATTTTTGATTATTCAGTGCATTTTTTGTGAGTTAAGTCACCTATTCCAGTCTATTTATCTGTTGGTTTATAACGAATTAGCTGTGAAATTTCAATTCCTCCACGTTTTGACTTTTCGAAAGAAGCGATCACGCTAATGAGAGACGGAACGAGAAAGTACGTATATGCGCCGCACGAAGCAGTTAGTTGCCAAAAAAGAGAGGTGTAGCGCTTTCATGACCGGAGGTGCGCTGGTTGCTGAGCAAGACTTCAAAAGCGCTCCCCCCCCCAGAACGACCCTCCCACTGGTCCAGCTGCTTATTTGGACCACCTACGTTTACACCAGGAGCAAGACAAGTAAAGCAACTCGACTGGAGCATGGACTGGCATGGCGCCACCAAACGCGTTGCAGTGAACTCGTCCATACGCCCGCTGTTTCAGCCGCTGCCCGTTCGTGAGTGAAAATCAACGGTCACGCAAGGAGGTCCTGTTTATGTTTTCTTGACGGATTTCTCTACTTTTTTCGCCACAAGCGCACCATTGAGCATCCTCACGTCCACTCCAAACCCCAGCAGAACCTGCCGTAATCGCTGCTACAGAGGATAATAGAGGAATAAAATCATATTTAGCTACGTCCACCAGAGACAAAGCAATTGAACGCATTATTGATCCATTCGAATACAGCAATTGTGGTGGCTAGGACACCGCTCACCACGTGCTTGGTTGAGATATCTTGGATCAAATTCCGCCCAGCAAAACCTATTGCTCTATCGAATTCCGCCCAGCGAAACCTATTGCTCTATCTTCGTGGTCTGTTTATGGGTATAATATTTGTCTGAAACGATTTTGTATTCAATCGCATCTATATTCCTGAGTGAAAGTGGAAGGTGTGGCGCGTCCCAAAAGGGTGCGATTATAGGGAGCAATCCATGCTCTGAAATTCTGAATTCCTAGTGAATCGCGACGACGGTCAGTTTCCATTTGATGCTTTCAACCTATCCACAAACTCAAGAAAATAAGGTCAGTTTGGCTGAACGTATTTGACCAGGGGACCATAAGGGTTTTATATGTTTTAGAGGCTAATGAATTGACAGGATGGGGCAGTCAAATGCAAGCAAAACGGTTCTTTTGACCTGTACTAGATGAACTAACGATACTCACTTGCCAGAAACCGCCATGAATCAGAATCACCAGGTGATCTTTCACTTCTCCCCAAATGTCTACCTTAGCAAAGTCGCTGTTACCTGGAAAACGTCTCCTTTTATTGTGTTACTTATTCATTGCCAATGCGAGTTGCCTGGGTCCACTCTACCTGATATGCTCCCAACGTCATAAGGCAGATCTTCGAGATGAGGCAACAAACGGAGTTCTTTGCAAGTTTCTTCTCCTATGCGAACATACTCAGCGATAACCTACGAGATAAAGAAAACTAATTTCCAAGAAATTTAGTGTCACAGTAACCAGATTTGGGGGGCGGAAAGGGTAACGTGACTGAAAAACTATTATATTTCCCTCATCAAGTACATGGAGAAAGTGGGATCTATGGGCTGATACTGGCTGGTTAGTGTGGCCTCGGAGAGAACGTGAAGGGTTAGCAAGAAGAAGTACCTCGTTGGGATCTTGATCGGCCCATCTACTGCACGAGTAGAGATGTGTATGTTCCGGATTTGGATCCATGTCTTGTGGAAATTCGTCTTACTAAGGTCTACTAAGTGTGCACTCGACGGTAAGGAGTCTGAAACACAAAACAAATTAACATAGTACCTTTACCGTGCAATAAAAAGAAGAGAACATCGTCGGCATGATCAGTTCACTCTGAAATTGCGTAGTAGACTAATGATAACGTTAACCATGTGGAACTACGAAGACGTATTGAGCAAAACAACTTTCCTACCCTGTTACAAATACAATCTAACAGTAAGGCCAGGCGTGCTTTTCTCATTACTGTATTTGAGGTGTCTTTACACGGGTCACCTGCCGTTCGAACTTGATGCGATACGAAGGGGTCGCTTTTGGTCTGGGGAGGGGTGGCGAATTTGAGGTACTGCCAGCACAGCGCGCGCGTGTGTATCCGAGGCAAGACTTACTTTGTGAGACCGATTAGATTTGATTTATTATGCCCAGAGAGCTAACATACGCATGTTTTTCTACTCAGTAGAGAAAGTGTTGGATGCATCCTTAATAAACGTTTGACTCTTCGGATGAAAATAAAGTTTCTTCAAAGACGTATATTTTGGTATGTATATCTCAGATGTGTAATTGTAATATACATGAGTAGGCGTATATCTCGCTAGTGCTTCAAATTGTCTTCTTACTCCCAATAAGCTTCTGAGGAAGTTATTATTACTGAAGCTCAAAATCGCGATGTGCGGCTCAAATACTCATGAGACACATGTTCTGATGCGGTGTTTCTCGGAAAATTTAATTTTAACAACTGTTTGGTGTCTTGAAGAAAGACAGTACTTGTACTTCCACTCATGATAAAGTGCTCATCGAAATGAAAACGACGGTGAGCTATGTCGCTTTAAGCCCAAAAACATCAGGATTTTATCAAAAGTGTTGCGGCAAAACCCCCGCAATGTGATGTGTGATTTTTCGAAAATTAATTTTGAAAAACGGATTTGGTGCTCGTCAGAAGGAGCAAATTCTTTATTATCTGCACCTGAAAAAAAGTGCATTCACAGAAATGAAAATGACGTGCGTCATGGGCACTGAAAGCAAAAAGATCGTTTGCACGGCAAATGTTGAACGTGACAATTTTTTAAAAGGGGTCAATCACATGCTTTTCATCCGTTTTCATAGAGAAAAATTTAAAGTTTTAAAACTTTTGACAGGCCTTCCAACAGGTCGCATCCGAAGATATTATGGGCCTTCAAAGTATGAAGGTGCACTTCTTTTTAGAATTCGTGGTTTTTCCACTTGCTCACGAAGTACTGTCCGAAAGTTCGGTCAATCCTTGTAGAGTTTTTCTGAAAAGCGCACCTCAGGCAAATCGAAGCTACACGCAACAAGTAAAAAAATACGTTCACGAATTGGTTATTCCGCTTGAAATTTTTCTTCGGCCGCGCTCCACTTACTTCCAGCGTCGGCATGATACCTGCGAGCTCCAAGGCTGACGCACACGCAGCGCTTTGCTGGCGCAAACGGATTCCTGTCTCAACTCTATTAATGAAAAGCGGGGGACCTTGGGCCCCATCGAGAGCTGTGGGTGTGTGGTTGGTTTGCGCAAACCAATCCACCAAAATGTTCGACACGTGACGGTTGACCCTGGCTGATCAGCGCTCAAGGATCAGGCCTTTGAGCGCATTTGTGGATTGCTTTGTTTCAAAGCAGAGCTTGATTCCATAGGGTATGCGGGCTTCGCTGATGCTTGTTGTATGATCAGGTTGGTTGTCCTTACATTAACCAATAGCTACCACCGTTAATTCTTACAATGGCTGCAAGATCCAAGCATTTTTTAGCGCTTCCGTTTGAGAATTCTTTGCCTGACTCGACTTGTAAAAACTCTCCTAGAGGCTTGAGTTGGGAGCAGACGGTAGTCAGAGTCGGCAATCTGTCATAAATATCAAACAGTCGTAAAGGTTAAGACGGTGGTGCCTTCCTGGTTGGTTGATCAATTCCTTTTTAAGACGCGCTACGCATTCTACCTCCATTCAGAGCCTTACAAGGAAGGTCTTTCAGGGTGTGCCAAGCTTTTTCAAAGCGGTCTTTTGCATGATATAGAGGCACATGCGGCAATCACAAAACCATGGTTAATTTTTCCTGAATGGCCCTCTGAATACCAGAAGGGGGTTCCTGACCACACCTTTTTGCCAGTTTTTCAATCAAAGTCTATTTGCAAGGGTTGCTGACGTTCCTAATCATGAATTTGGCACTAATTATTCATGCTAACTCCATTTTGCGCGAATATGGTAACGTCAACACGAGATGCAAAAACTTGTCACCACGAGCAATCGAACTAGAGACTTCCTTTCTGGTACTCAGAGGGCCGTCCAGGAAAAATTAACCATGGTTCTGTGGTTCCTGCATGTGCCCCTATATCATGCAAGAAACCATTTTGAAAAAGCTTGGCACACCCTGAACGACCTCTCTTGTTAGTGCCATTTTGAACGTAAATTGGCCTACACAACAGCATGCAAGCTCTGTCAATATGAAAGTCAATGCTTTATTTTTCTAGACAAGTCTGGTAAAAATTCATGGATCCACGATGGAAGGAAGGCGGCTGGCCTGGACGTGGTGCTATACAGGATTTTATCCCTGGACCGCGCGCATGCTTAGCATGCTCACCTATTGTCACCTATTTCCACCCTAGATGTTGGTAGCCATGAAAAAAGAAAAGAAGAAATTATAGGCAGACCATCTCAATTGTTTTCATAATCAACATACACATGTACATACGCTTGCGAGCTGGAAACGAGTTCCAAGGCCGATGTCAGACTTTGCGAATCGCGCGATTCGCTACTAGCGATTCGCGCGATTCGCTAGCGTCCGCGGTCGCGCTGGGTACCAGCCAACTGAGTGGTTCGCTGGCCGCGACGCGACACAGACGCTCGCGAATCGCGCGATTCGCAAAGCTGACATCGGCCTAACGGAGTAGAGCAAGCAACCATCTGGACCGCTCCGGCAGAGATTTCACATGCTAGGCTGGATGCGGTGGGTCAT